TTCACCATTTTGATTTTAGTTCTGAAGTGGACAGTTTAGATAATGGGGATTTTTCATTAGTATCATTTGATTCTTTCAGAATACTGTTAGGTGATTTCTTTGATACAGAAGACATAAGACTAATAGCAGCAGCTATTGAATACATTGATAAACAATCAATAATAGAATTAGTTGTTTCATCTTTAGATGATAGTTCTTCATTGTTGAGTGAACTAAATAAATACATTCGATATTTATTTTAGATCAAAGAAAATGATGCTGATAAATAATAAGCTAATATACCATTGAAGAGAAAAAGAAGCAATACGATAAGAAAAATGCAGACAAATAAAATATGTAAATGTTATTTATAGATTATATTGAACGCTTAGAATAAATACTTACTTGAACTGAATTGATGCAAAAAAATCTTCTATATACAGATTTACCTTAATTTAGAAATCATATTACAACTATTGATTTTTTAGATTGAAGCATTGAAAAATCCTTTTAAATATTCGGACTGTCTCTTTTTTAAAAAGAAGCTTTAGGATTCCAAGCAACCAAATACGTCGTTCTCGACACAATCACCATGAATCTTCGAGTATCTTTGGGCAATACAGGGCTTTTTATTATTAATCGCACAATCGTATATATGATGTCAATAAAATGTCTTCCACTAGTAATAGAATTAAACCGTTGGAGTATAGATGGTTTAATTATTTTTCTCCTTTGAGTGATCCATTTTATGTAAGACTTTTCTTTCAGAAATGATGGCAAGACCTATAGAGAACAGGATCTTTTGTGTTGAAAGGCATGCATCTAATTCGACGATTTCTTGATATTTCATTCAAAGTCATACAAAAATGTCTAAGAACAATAATGGCAATTATTTTCTTTTATTTTCAGGCTGGAATGTCTTATTTCTTATTAATTCTCGGATTAAGACTATGAATATTAAATTCGCCAAGAATCAATTGAAAATTTTACTACACACTTATTGTTTTTATCCAATATACCTAATTCATATTATTTATATATTAGAAAAAAGACGTCGTACTTCGAAATCAACTTTCGATATTACAATCAAATCATCTGATGATCCGACAAATAGTTTTACTCAAATATGTGTTATTTTTAATTAACTCCAGGAAGCATAATAAGTTACGAATAACAGGCAAAAAGTACCAATATATCATTTTTGAATATGTAAAATTAATAATAATAGATTATTGTACCTCCATCTCGTCTTTTGTATAACTTTCTTCTTTGTTCTTGTTTTTACTACTAGACCTAAAAGAATTTATAAATTGGTTAAAATAAGCAAAACTAAATCAAGAATTTTATGTACTTATACACATCAAGCACAAGAGCATGATCATGTTCAAATGCTTCAGCCACAGCTTCTTCTCTAAATTTAATTTTCTCACTTCAAAATTTCTTTACATCCTCAGCAAATATTATATCAACCATGTCTAAAATATAAAAATCTTCTTATAAAGGAATAATAACAAGAAAACTCATAATCAAACCAAGAAGCATTCGACATTAATATGAATGAAACGCATTTCCGATATTTGGAATAATATTCATTCGTTTTTTTAGCTACATTTAATAAATTACAACTAGATCAATGTGAAAATTCTACGGTATATACAAAGCCGTCTTTAATAAACAAATTCAATAACGAAAGAATATACGGGCCTGGTAATATCAGAAATATGAGAAACAGTTATATCGCTAGCAACACACTAAGATAAAGTATTTTTGTATCTAGCAACTTATGAGTCTAATCAACGCCACTAAGAATTCCAGACACGATATTCAATTTTTTCTTGATTATCACCCAGAAAGAAATTGTCAGTTAATTTATTAAAGTAATCTAATAAAATGTTTACATCAACACGTACATATTGTTCACTAACGATGATGTATCTAGTTAATAAAATATCATTGCCTTTTGATCGAGCTGTAAGTGCTACTAACAGTAAAGAAATCATGATTACATAATATTGAGAAATAATAAATAAACAAACCTGAATGGTAGTGACGTTCAACAACAACTTTTTTGCACCACTTCCACTTAGTTACGAAAATAAATTCAATCAATTGATAAGAAAATGATTCAACTTACATTTTCCACTTTCACGATCTCCGTTTCGACCTTCTAAGGACAATCACTACGTAGCTTCAGGAAATTTGCATAGAATACTTACGTCCACCACCCTCTGATGGGCTGCCTATTAATTGATATGTTTATTCAAGTTTCATTATTTTAAAATTTTCTGATTTCAGAAGTTGATGGTTAAGATTTGCTGCTAGCTTTGAGCTTTTTCTATTTTGACTTTCAGCGAGGCTGCTTATCAGTAAGAAAAACAAAGAGAAACACCTTTGACTCATCAGTCATAATGTATATGGAATAATAATCAAAAATAGATGGCACATACTTTAATTATAATAAAATTGGAAAATTCACATGAACATAGATTATAACTGTAGCTAAAGAAACTATTTATTTAGTAATTGTATCTTGTTTAAGTCGATGGAAGTTTTGTAGAAATCCATGGTAATGATGTTGATACCAAGTGTCCTGTCAATATTCATAATCTAGTAATCAGCTTTTCTAAAAAAGAGTGGACCACCGTATCAGCTCATGTAGGAGAAACGGCAAGGTATCTTTCTTTTCACTCGTCACTAACACCATACATCGTCAGGCTACTCTCGAATTGATCGCGACGTCGGATCTATTCTTATGAAGCACCAAGTAAAACCAGTAATGACATACGTAGAATGTGCCCGTTCTTCAATTTTAAAAAGCTTTAATCGATATGCACTAATAGATTCTAAACGTAACTGACGATTGCAACTGACCAAAAGTAGAAGTATTTCTTATGAAGCCTTAAAACTTTCCTCCATAGAAACTTACTCACATCGTTACTTACGGAGTCGCCCATTTTTTAGATTGAATTTTATTATGTTTGCTTATGAGGTCGGTGAAGAAAGGTTGTGCAGCTGCCTTTTCTTCGTTCTGTTTATCCTGGCAACATGCTTAGGACTCTACTTCTAATCTCTTTTTTTCTATTCTGTTTTTTTTGCTGTCTCACACTCGTGTATGCGCTTTATTTTATTTTCTTCCTACTTATTGTGAAAATTTTACCATGGCAGAATCAGCATAAATATAGAGGTGACGGTGAATATAAACTGTCGTCATTTTTTAAATTGAATGCACACTGATGCCTACTGCGACAAACCAAAAGTCAAATGGACGATTTCTTGACGCCAACAAGGAGCCCCATCAAGTTCTGCTACCTATTCGTGGATATGCGAAAGAACCATTGCTGCCACTTGAAGAGGCTATTAAGCCAATCGACGATCAACTCGATGATCTTGATATAATGGTCGACACGGCCAAACAAAACTCAAAAAAACCGACAGATGGACTCACTCGCGATGAATCGGCTGCCATTCATCTCTATACAATGCAGTGGGAAGAGCCGAATGTAAGCCTTTTTACTAAGCTCAATACCGTACTCCGTTCAAAACGACGGGAATCACTCAGACCATGGTTCCGTTACCTGAAACTGGTTCTCACCGCTTTATTCAAACTGCCATCATTGAAGACCATAGTGTGGAGAGGAGTTCAAGGCAATTTGAGCGATCAATACGATGATGACATAGTATGGTGGGGATTTAGTTCATGTACGGAGAGTTTGGAGATCACGGAGAGATTTGTTGGCAAGTCAGGTGTACGAACATTATTCACTATTGAATGTATTAACGGCAAAGCTATTGGGGCCCATTCATTCTACAACGAAGAAAGCGAAATCCTTCTTCTACCTGGTACTTATCTTCGTGTTGTGGGTAAATCGAGTCCAGCTAAGGACTTATACATCATTCATTTGCGAGAAACACCAGCGCCACGACCATACCTTGAACCACCATTCACATCAACTATAGTAGACATTTCCGTTTCCGCTGGGTCGGCAACAACAATGAAAACAGTAGCCAAACAAGATATTGCAATTTCGAAAGGAGAAGATTTATCAAGTGCTGCTGTATATGCAACATCCACCAAACAAAAAAGTAAGCGTTTTCTCATTTTTATTGGGTCAGGTCAATCATGCTCGGTCGTAGACGGCCGTATTAATATCCAATTACGATGAAAAACGACAGCTGTTTACAATGCCCTTTCCCAGTAGCCGTAAACGATGCTTTACGGTGTTTTACGGCTATCGTAAACAACGACCGCGGAAGGGCGCCGTTAAGGACTAGCATAACAACATGGTGACTGTAAGCGCTGCTTGAATAATATTGTAAGATTTCGCATACGTCAACTGTAAAGGGTTTAATAAAACACCACCGTTTTCTATCGTACTTCGTCGTAAACAGTCGTGACATTGACGATCTAGTCTCATTGAGTGTGAACAAAATGTGCTCATAACCAGCTGTAGACGTCGCTCTGTAACCACACTCGTTGATCGGTAAGGAATCGACAGCGATCGTATGAGATGATTTTAACTTCTCGTGTCACAGTCGATCTCAGCAAAGCAGAAAAATCTTATTTTTATCTAAGCATTAATTAAAAAGAAGAAAAACGATTTAAAAATATTCCCTAGAAATCTACATGAAATGTGTAATGACAGTGGTCATACCGAGCGCTAATAAAGCAGTTCGGATAAAGCGCATTGGTATTCTACCATGATCTCTACTACAAAAGAAATATGATTTTTTACACAAAAAAGAGGTTCAATAGTTAACATCTAACGGAATCAGACTATGCAATCGTTTTTTTGTTATATTTGAACAGATCAGCTAAGCTAAAGTGCAAACTTAAATTGATTACAAAACACTCGAAAACGAGTTTGAGTTAGTTGCCTTGTATTTCATTTTTGAAAAGAACTCTAACAACCATATCACCCATGATGACTTAACAGATGAAAGTGCAATTTACATTAAGCCTTACCAGATCCTGAAACCTACTATTTATACAATGTTCTCTTTAGAAAAAGACAAGTTGTGATATCTTTTTCTTTATCGACTATACAGAATACTAATTGCACTTAGGCAGTAGGTTCCATACTAGTACCCAGCAAGGATTGTCTAGATTTTTAAAAGTCTACCTGTCGAAAGCTGCATTTTTCTAAAAAAATTTTTAAGATTGAAAAATCTGTGTATAGGGAAAAGGAATTTTGAACAGCACTCTTATCCTAAGCACTTTTTCGACGCTGAAGCAGCTTATTTGCTAGAAAAAATGTCTTAAGTCCTCCATTATTAAAAATATATTTTCGTCTCAGAACAATCGATCTATCTGAGAATATCAGGAAATATGAGTGCAGGCTTAGGGAGCTTACAATAAAAATTTCAATGACAAGAGGTAAGACCTTAGTCGGGAGTGGCGTTTTATCTCTTTACACTTCGCAGGGTGGTTCACATTGGCATCCTGTTGTGTCTGTTACAACATGACTGTATTGTGCTACAGTTAGCAATGCAGTAGATGTCTGAATTTCGCTGTATACGACACGAAGACATACCATCGTAATATTGTCCCTACCATATGAGTAATTTACAGTCTGTATATGATCGTTTGCGGTGGTCGTAACCAGGGACAAGGAAGGTTCATATTAAATGATAGCAACTCTCCAACATTAACGGCTACTGACGATGAAGTACAATAGAAAGTGATGACGTTTATTGAGCCATTTACAGTTAATGCATAGGACCCCTTGTGATATTATTCCAATAGTGTTTGCTGTCCCTTACGCTAGTCGTAAATTGTCATTTTCTATGGTTATTCTTTCAACGGCTGTAATACATTGTGAAGCATCGTTTATGACTGCGCTTGATGGCCACCGTCAATAGCTGCAGTTTTCCGCCACAATGGATTTGTATGAGGCTGCATACAACTGAGAATGACTGACCTGGTTAGGCTTTAGAAATGTTTGCATTATCTATTGCAAAATTTTTATGAAGCAATACGAAAAACTGTCTTATGTCCATATTGTAATTACGAGTGTGACCGAGCCGAAACTGAAACGCATCAGGTAAGCACTTGAAATAAAACCATAGCTCTCGCATAAGAAATCAATTTGCTCATCTTTGGTATTCGTAGAGATTTTGTCTTCGGAATCCAAATAATATCGGCAAAACACTTCCAACATCGACTAACGGAGATACCAGTGAATATTTAGGTGTTATCACACGTAGATCCTATTCTTATGAATTTCATTTTATTTTCAGATCTATTGCGCCATGACGACCAGTTCACAGATGCCGCTCTTATTCCTTGTGAATTTTGTAAAAAATCGATTGAATGGCGACTTTTTGAACAACATATCGTTAGTTGAATAACTGATTTCTATCCTTATTATTTTTTATTTAATAGAATTCTTGTGCTAAGCAAGACCATGAACGAAGAAAACAACAATCGAGGTTAATTCATTAGTCTTATTTTGCTTCAAAGTGATTTTAGTCCAATTTTAGATCCGTCCATCAAGACAAAAATGATCAAGTTGCTCGATGCAGATATTGTAATGAAGAGCGTTTCGTGGATATGCTCAATGATCATGAGGTCAGAGTTCTTCTACACTTCTATACTCTCATTTTGATTAGCTTTTGATGTAGAAATACTGCCTCAAGTCTCCTACCGTAAGTTAAGCAACCGCTTTATACTCTTATTATTTTTCATTCAACAGAATTCTCGTGCTGAGCAGGATCGTGAACGAAGGTAACAAACATTGGAGTTAATTCGTTGGTCTTACTTTAGCAGGGAGTGACTTTTGTCATCTTTCAGATTCGTCCACGAAGGCGACAATGATCGAGTTGGTCGATGTGAATATTGTAATGAAGAGCGTTTCGTGGATTATCTCAATGATCATGAGGTCAGAATTCTTCTACAGTTTTATATTCTCATTCTGATTAGCTTCTGATGTAGAAATACTGCCCCAAGTCTCCTATTGTAAGTTAAGCAACCGATTTCCATTCTTATTGTTTTTCATTTGATAGAGTTTTCCCATTGAGCAAGACCGTGAACGAAGGTAATAAAAAATGGTGTTAACTCATTAGTCTTACTTTACCAGAACATGACTGTTGTCAAATTTTCAGATCCGTCCATCAAGACAACAATAATCAAGTTGCTCGATGCAGATATTGTAATGAAGAGCGTTTCGTGGATATTCTCCATAATCATGAGGTCAGAGTTCTTCTACACTTCTATACTCTCATTTTGATTAGCTTTTGATGTAGAAATACTGCCTCAAGTCTCCTACCGTAAGTTAAGCAACCGGTTTATACTCTTATTACTTTTCATTGAACAGAATTCTCGTGCTGAGCAGGATCGTGAACGAAGGTAACAAACATTGGAGTTAATTCGTTGGTCTTACTTTAGCAGAACGTGACTTTTGTCATCTTTTAGATTCGCTCATCAAAACGATCAAAATCGCGTTGGTCGATGTAAATATTGTAATGAAGAGCGTTTCGTGGATTATCTCAATGATCATGAGGTCAGAATTCTTCTACACTTTTATATTCTCATTCTGATTACCTTCTGATGTAGAAATACTGCCCCAAGTCTCCTATCGTAAGTTAAGCAACCGATTTCCATTCTTATTGTTTTTCATTTGATAGAGTTTTCACATTGAGCAAGACCGTGAACGAAGGTAATAAAAAATGGTGTTAATTCATTAGTCTTACTTTACTAGAACATGACTGTTGTCAAATTTTCAGATCCATCCATCAAGACAACAATAATCAAGTTGCTCGATGTAGATATTGTAATGGAGAGCGTTCAATAGCTGATCTCAGCTTTCACGAGGTTAGAGTTCTTCCACGTTTATATTTTCATTCTAATTATTTTTAATGAAGAGTTTGTGCCAAAAATATAATGACACTTTTGGTAATGCGTCGTATGCAAACCTATTTCCTCCGCCACCCTCATAAGATTGACTTATTCAACCAATTCAATTCAGAATTCAGAATTTTTACACAAAAAACTGTTTTGAAAAAAAGCTTTTCAAATCAACATCAATTGAAAGATTTTTTTACTATTAATAAATAAATTTTTTTTTATAAAATATATCGTCCGTATGAAATAATTATATAGCGAATCGATTACAATTGAATTCAATAAGTTCATGATTACTAACTTATTATTAGAAAAACATTTTTGTCCGAAGAAAATATGAATGATCACTTTCAAGAAATAATCAAGAGAGAAATTTATGGTTTTTCTGTGTATTTAAAATTCTTCGATGTTCTTTCTCGAAATTATTTGAGCAGAAGTTTCGAATATGTTGCCATAATCTGATTGTGTTATTTGTAAGGTTCGATCAATTTTGATTAAAGTAACTGGCATATGAAGTTTGTCATTCCAGATAGAGGATTTTCATGAAAGACTTCATTGCATAAAATGATCGAAATAGATTTGAATGATCTCTGCAATATCATTATTCATGTCTCTTCTCGTCTGTCCTATCTCATAAATTTATCAACGTTTCTGATTTCGCAATAACATATAAAAAACACAATATAACATTGAAAAGCCGTCATGAATAATGCTGAATAGATCTCAAATCATGAACAAAGCTAACTATAAATTTGATCTCCTTACTCGAGTAACGGATTTTTCCTGCATCATTAGTAAAACGTCTCTTGCAGACAGTGGAAAATATTATCTAAGAAAAAGTTAAGAATGTTGAAAAAAGTAGACCTTCATCATTTCTTTTTTTGTATAAAATTTTTATTGATGCCTATTACTTTATTAATAACTATTGCATCTTATTCATACAGCGGATGAGCCATAAAAAGCACTAGAATAAAAAATTGAAATATCTTCGCTTCGGTTAGTGGTAGAATTTTATTTAAGTGTTTTTGTCTTAGGAATAATGTAAACACAAACTAATGTCAAGTTATATTTTTGATAAATTGTCAAGTGATAAAAGAACATGGGCACCGTTTCATAGATAATATTCAGTTGTCATCTAAGAAAATTAGTTCAACATTCACTGGTACTTGAGTAACATCAGCCTAAAATGAAGAAAAAACAACATCAATAATTTTTCCTAATCACACATTTTCATTTACATACAGTTATTGTATTTTCTGTATAACCAGTGATTTTGACAGCAAATGCTAATATATTTTGCATTCTTATAAGACCTTTTGTCCAAGATTCAAGATCTTGAAATAGTCTAGATGCATACATTAGATTAAATAAAATACCAACACGTTTTGTATCAACTTATCGAAGTATATCTAATGTTCGTAAACATGCATGACCATGCCATACAACTAATGTTCGATATCTATTAGCACGAATCTATTGAACAAGTAAACAATAATGATGAATATGAAAAAAGAATTCTTTTTTTGTCTTTTCACTTCAGGACTATAATCAAAATGATGAAAATTGTCTAGAAAGATATCGAATAAGTGGTAAAGAATATTCTAATGAATGTATAAGTTGAATAAATAAACGTTCAAATCTTGGACAAATATCATTTTTTGGTTGAGAAAAATAATTTGAATTTGTTTCAGCTAATTCACGTATTTGTGTATATATTAGATCAACATTAAAATTAACATCAATTGTTTCTGCTGTTGGTATTATTGGATTGGCTGATGAGCTATGTATTGTTTAAGATGAATTTATTATAAATGAACTAGATTTTGAAATGAACGGTTTAGATAATGGGGATTTTTCATTAGTATGATTTGGTTCTTTAGGAATACTGTTACGTGATTTCTCTGATACAGAAGACATAAGAGGATGTGGGTGTGGGTGGGTGTGGGTGTGGGTATGGGTGTGAGGATAATGGTACGATGAAGAACCCACAGCTGAACTCACACCCACACCCACACCCAAACTCACACCCACACCCACCAACAGGTTTTAATTAAAATTTGACTAAATTCCAGAATAAAATTGGACGTTTTTCTTTAAAATCAATTTTATATAAATCGTGATTATTTTGATCGGGCGTTTCAATTATATTTTCAAGTTCTTTGCGAAGAAATTACGGGCTTAAATAGTGTACCGTTACAGGTGGTGACGATGATTGAAGGCGACTAGTAAAATAAAACAATAATAATTAAATTACTCACTTAAAAGACACATAATAGAGTTAAACATGATCAAGTTCGTTTGGTAATGCTTTAGCATGTATTTAACTGAGACGAAGTCATAAAAATCGAGTTAAACTGTCATAACTAGAGATGTACGGGACCAAATTTTTTTTCTGGTCCCGGTCCTGGTCGCACACATCTCTAGTCATAACATAAGCAGAACGCAATCAAAGAATTTATCATGACACATTTTATTTGCTTTCAACGAACTCTATCTTATGATAAAAGTTCACTCTCATCAGCTTCATTTGCAAATTAAAAAAATGTATCCTATTTGAACAGAAGACAAATGCTTTTGATAGCTATCTGTTCACTTACATACGTATATGTTTCTGGCAGCAAGCATTTAGTTCAAAGACTTGAAAATTTTATAGGAACAAAGTCGCTCTCGATTCAATCAAGTATTTTTTTTCTTCAAACTTAACCATGGAAAAACATTGTGTTGAATAAAAAGATTTGCTTTTAGAATTTCTGAACATTTACAACAAGAAACTAAATCTTACAATGATTGTTTGCTTTTTTCAATTATTAATTGTTGTGTAACATTATTCGTTGGCGTTGCCACTGTCGAATTATATTTCCTAAACAAAAAACATTTTTAAAAATCTTTTTCGTTTAATTTTACGTTGAGTTTGCATTCGTATTCATGACTGCATTATCCTGAGAAAACCAAAACATAAATCAATAAACTCTCGAAGTAATCAAATATCTTTGTCTTACTCTTATATTAATATTTAATTTTGGTATTGTTTTCTCTTCACAATGAACACATTGTATGGAGTTCAGAATCATCTGGAGACCAGCCATTCATGATTTCTTCATCACATAAAAATTGATTGCATGATGAACATCGATTGCAACTACCTATTTCAATAATTCGACTTGGAAAATGAGAATCCTCATCATGATTGTTACTAATTGGTATTGCAACACTTGATGGATCTAAAATTAAAGCTTTGATATCATCATGAATATTGTTCGTATTTAATGATGAACTATTTGAACTTTGCTGTGATACAAGTGATGACATACTACTACGTAATTTACTATTACTTCTTGCTAATGTTCGTTCTTTATTGATTGTTGGATTTTTAACTGTATATAGACTTCGATTGTATTAATGGAATGATTGTAGATTTGACTGATGATTTAAGATCAGTAAAACGATTCAATACACATGATCTAATTGTAGTAAGATTTTCTGGATAATATAATGCTGAGAGAAACCACTTGGATTAAATTTAGTACATATCTGTGTTATTAATGTTGGAATATGTAATAGAGATGAAATTTGTTCTTCTTCTTTTGAAGTAGGATTTATAGCTAGTTTCATTTCAGATGAAGTCGGTATTGAATTAGCAAAAGGTTTTTCCATCACAGAAGATGTTCGATTCATAATTAATTGAGGTGTAGGAGCCGTTGGAGTTGGATTAAGTAGACCAAGTGGATCATTGAATAGAATTTGTGTTCGTGATGTTAATTCCCATTTAATTGGTGCATTTGCTTATACTTGATTATAAAGACATGAAATTGAACGATGTGTTGAATGTTGTGAATTATGCATTTGAGATGATCTTGGAGTTACTGGTAAACGACATGAAAGCATATCAACATCATCTATTTCAATATCACTTGCAGTCATTAGTATACCGGCATCAGATCGAGCTAAACAAAATGATTAAAGAGAATTCTGTTTTAATTATAGTTTGGAAAATAATGTAGTTGGTATTGATAATAAAAAAGCGAGATTGCTTTAGGATACATTTCTCCACCATTATTTTAACTGATTCTAGAGAAAATGCAATAAAAAACTAGTTGATGTATTATATCGAGACGGCATTAATATACGGTCCATTATGAGCCAAGTATTTGTGATAATCAGAGGAACTTAACGAAATTACTTATAGTAAAGTCACACTGGGAAAAAATCACTACTGCTAGATAGATGGTATACATCAGGATATGCAAAATCACTTTTTTCGGTCCCGATTTCGGCGAAAAGTTTTTATTGGTACTGACCAAGTAGCTGTTGATAATTTTTGTATCTTTCGATCTTAATATTTGTTCCAAAAGCAGAAGCAGTTTTCCCAACAATCTATATGATTCATATAAAAATCTGCAAGCATGATCTTAAATTGATGTTATTTCAAAAGTCAATTGGAAAGTATCCAAATTTAGGATCTTGAAGATGCATCCGATATCGAAACATCAATTTTACTTCTTAGTTGGACGAAAAGTAATCAGATTTTCCGATTCAAAAGTTTTAGAGAGTATGGATGGGGACAATACATTAGTTTGGAACCACGTACACCCCAGATTCCCACGATTATATCCACACCCACACCCCATCTTTAGAAACTACGACACAAGTTTTTTCTTGACATCTGTCTCTGACACCCCGGAGCCCTAGAAGAGGTTTGTGCAAACTGAGAATAAGGCTTTGGTTCTCTGAATAATGGTGGGAAAAGGGATGCAACGGTGACAGTGTCGGTGTGGGTTGAGTGTGGGTGGGTGTGGGTGTGGGTATTGGTGAGTGTGGGTGTGAGTCTTCATGTACCAGATTTCGACATCCACACCCACTCACATCGCACACCTACACCTACATCGCACATTCACACCCCACACGCTCACGTCGCAGACCGCACATCCACACCCTACACTCATACCCACACATATCCTCTTAAAAGCTACACTTGATATATCTTTAAAAAATATGAATATTTCATCATTTTTATTAGCTTTTTTGTTTACAATTTCTGGCCATTCTGAATCAACACTTATCGTTATGCTTGAAACCTTAACACTTTTTCAACATATGGTAACTTTTCGTATTGCAATTCCGTATCATATAGGCATTATTAAATCCAATAGAAAATATTACCTTGCTGTTGTTCAATCATCTCCAAATATTGATATATCAACATCAATTAATCCATCTCGAGAATGTATTCCTATCGAAAAATTGTTTAATTCAACATTAATGAGCATGACTCAATTTCAAGGAATAAAATTTTATCATATTCCATGTCAAACTCATTATGATTTGAATTGTTTCATTGATGAAGCTTATCTTTGTTTATGTACTAATGATCGTCATGCAAATTGTGTTGAATTTAATTATAATAAAAATCTTCAATGTTCATCTTCAAATCATTGTTCTAATGGAACATAATGCTTACAAGATCATTCTAGTTGTCCATCTGCAATAATATCTTTTTTTGCACTGATTGTTTATTTGGTAATCATTGTTGATTTTATGCTAAAGGACTTGGCTTAACATTAGAGGAAATCTTAGGCTGTGAAATAAAACATAATATGAACTTATCTAAACAACCATTTTCAGTAAAATAAAGTGCAGTGATTACAATGATTATGCTTATAGTAGGACTTATCAATGATATTCTCTCAATTTTAACATTTAAAAATATAATTTCTCAAGAAGTTGGTTGTGAAATATATCTTCTTGCATCATCAATAACTTCATTAACTACTGTGATTTTATTTATAATTAAATTCTGGTTTCTTATTTCTCAATTATAATAAACTCATTTATTTGATGATGCAAAAGAAGAACGTAGTAGGTGTTCTAATTCTATATTCATCATTATCAAATAATTATAGTTCGTTTATAATACTTTTTCATTTTTTTACTTCATTTATAATAAATTTATTTTCTGCAATATTGATTTTAATTAGAACAAGCTCGTCAACGAGTTACATTGGAAAGTGAACATCGATTTACAAATCATTTTAAAAGTAAATTAAAACAACATAAACATCTTTTAATTAGTTCTATTATTCTTGTTATATTATCATTACCTCGTTTAATTATTTTATTTACTTTGGATTGTAATAAATCATCACAACATTTTTCGTTATTTTATTTCATTTATGCCATCAGTAATGATGTTTATTGTTTTTGTTTTCCTATCACCAATGTATAAGAAAGAATTTAAACAAGTTTTATTACGTATTCAACGACGGTTTTGTTTACTCAACAAACGTCCTTGATATTATACTCTTGTTTGAACTTGCTTTTTTCTCGATAAAAGTAAACTATTCATCCATTTTAACATATTCGCTGTCGTACTTCTGATTTTTAATATCAAATATTCCTAGATCTTGTTGTAAAAATTTGGCAGCATTTCTTTAATTCTCTAGAATAAACGTCATACTCAACAACTTAACAATACTATTCGATGCGTCACATTAGAAATATGATTAGTTTTTTGTATTTATACATCCACTTTCTTCTCTGACCTGAGTAATATTGCCTATTCTGCAAAAAGTCTCAAGACTGTCATTGTAATGATTTTATTGATCTCCCGCTGCCTGTCAGACCATGCTGTTCTCGAGAAATAAGCATTCGAATCTAGAAAAAACGAACATTAATATAGCTTACATAATTGTATTTGTACAAGTAATCTATAAGTCCGAATTTATTAATGAAATATTGATAAGAAAAATTCGAAAAGCAACGGACTAGTATACCACCCTAGTACAACAGACAGAATAGGAGATTTATACAGAAAAATTAGGTTAGATCTAAATTATTTGATGACAAAACAAATATTATTCGTATAAAACATGATATGATCAATGTCATTTGATAATAGAATTCGAAGATGGATTAAACGATGCACTGTGAATGTTCTTCGATAGAAACTACATTTATTATCGTCTTTAACTTGTAAAAACGTCGTTTTATCCACGATTCATTCATGATAATAGAAGAAGATCCATTACATTTGCTGCTCTCTTTAAGTTGTTGCTGCTGATGCTCATAAACGAGAGTATATATACCAACGATAAATAAGTTGATCACTTCCAAGAAAAGCCCCAAACTAAGAGCAAATAAAGCCAATGTAAGCCCGATCGGATGTATTTTCTAGAAAAACAATCGTTTTTCATTCAAACGATTAAATACAAAAGATAATTGCATTTTCTTACCCAAGATATCATACCGATCCTGAAGAAACAACCAGAGACGAAGAGTAGAGTTGCAATCATGAGATAATACATACCCATATATTTGCGTCTTTCGTCTTTTGTCAAAGGAGGCTGGTCATACAAGAAATAAAATATAACAAATTTTGTTCAGTTCATATATGTCAAACCTGAAAATTGAATTCAATTATTGAATAGTTGAAGTAGATTTTCAATAATTGAATTCAACTTTCAGGTTTGACACTACTGACAGTAAAAGATGTCCCATTACTCCTGAAATACTTGAGTGTTCTCGTATATAATATATATAAACCATTCGAAACCTAAGTAGAATATTAGGATGTTGAAACAATACTCTACTCAATTTTGACAGATTTATT